GGGTCTCACTCTTGCTCAGGCTGGTTTCGAACTCCTGACCTTGAGCGGTCCTCCCGTCTTGGTCTCCCAGAGTGCTAGGATTACAGGCATGAGCCACCGCACCTGGCCCTGCAGGTCATTTTCAAATATCTTGGAAGCCTCAGTCTGTGGCTGCATTTATTTGAGATGATTTATCAGCCACAATGTGAGTGTTTGCAGCTGCAGATACGCCATCCTTAGCAAGTCTTTTGTGTTCACTTTGTTTTGTTTTTAGAGATAGGGTTTTGCTATGTTGCCCAGGCTGGTCTTGAACTCCTAAACTCAAGCAATCCTTCCACCTCAGCCTCCCAGGCATCTGGGACTACAGGCACCACTGCGCTCAGCCTTAAGAAGTCTAGAGTCCTGGATTTCCCAGTACATGCAACCAGCATACAGTTTTTTAGTTTTTCTTTTTTTTTAAGGGTGACAGTAGTTATCTTTGCTCTTCATGGAGTATAAAATTCCATGGTTCCAGCTATATTCAGAGATACCATACTAAGCAGAATCCAAAATATCCCCAATACGCCACAATTCACAAGACATTAAGGAAGGGGATTGGCACAGCCCTTTTTGAGACAAATTTCAATTTTCAAAATTTTCAAATATCAAAACTGAGCGTGGCGCCGGTGCTCGGCCTGTAATTAGCATTGTGGGGATCAGGCGCCGCGGGATTGCTCAAGTCAGGACTTCGAAACCAGCCTGGAGCGAACCCGTCTCTTGACAAAAATAGAAATAAATTAATGGCCAACTAATATATATATTACAAAAACTTAGCCGGCGATTGTGCGCATGCCTGTAGTCCCAGCTACTCGGGAGGCTGAGGCATAGATCGCTGAGCCCGGAGATTGAGGTTGCTGTGAGCCAGGCTGACGCCACGGCACCAATCTACCGTGGCAAACAATAGAGACGTCTCAAAAAAAAAAAAAAAAAAAAAAAAAAAAAAAAAAAACTGACAGTTTTCTTCCAGTCTCACTTGTCTGCAACCAGCTCATGTTGCTGTACAAAGTGATTACTGTGCTTGTCCAAAAAGATTTTTCTGAATACTCATGATTTCTTGTTTGCACGATCATGCCTAGGAAAATTGTAGACATGATCCAAACGTCTTGGGTGTCGGCTTTCTCCAGTTTATCTTATCTATGGCTGGCGAATGTTGGGCACAGTTTCACCAGGTGTACAAAGCAGACAGATTCTAAATGGCTAAAAATATCTGCTTGTTTAGACTATGTTTCAAACAACTGGATGTGTAGAAATTTGAGTTTGGTGCTAGCAAGCTATGGGGCCAGTTGCCTGATCTGCTGTGAAGACATGAACAACACGGGGGCAATGTTCAGGGGCGTCAGGACTCGGGATTGGTCAAATCAGAGTAAACTGCAGTGACTGGTCCTACGACATGCAGCTGATCCAAGCTGTCTCCTTGGAATTTTCTAATTGGAGATGGCAGGAAGGAGTTCTCTTCCTTTGGGAAGGACCTATTCCTAGCTTCCTTGGCTTATGGCAGTATAACTCCAATTTTTTTTTTTTTTTTGAGACAGTGTCTCACTCTGTCACACAGGCTGGAGTGTAGTGGTGTTGTCCTAGCTCATGGCAGCCTCAAACTCCTGGGCTCAAGCCATCCTCCTGCCTAGCCGAGTGACTATAACTCCAATCTTAACATGCCATTGTTCTTCCTGGGAGCATTTTCTGTGTCCAGATTTCCTCTTTTCAGGATGGGATAACACATGGCCACATCTCTGTCAGCCCATTTCCTACCTATAAGATCCTGCACTTTGTCCCATCTTTGTCCCCTTTAGTGCAAGCTGGCAGTGTTTGTCCTGTAATGATTTAATGGATCCACACGTCACATGTCATACACCTGATCTCTTAGCAAACGGTCATCTAGCCACACCCTTGGTGTTCTTCCTAGAACATTCTTTCTCACTTTTTGCAATATGAATAGGCTAAAAATGTTCCAAATCTACAAGTTTGCTTAACAATTTCATATCTGTCCTCTTGCATTTTTTTAAATTCTGGAGGTTTGAAGTCACCGATCAAGGTGTCAGCAGGGCCACTCTCCCTCCGAAGGTGTGGGGGAAGGATCTGTTCTGGAACTCTCTCCAGCTTCTGGTAGCTCTTTGGCTTGTGGCACCAGGACTCTGGTCATCACATGGCAGTCTCCTTGTGTGTGGCCTTCTCTCTGGGTTTCAGGACAGAAGAAACGGTGAGGGCGAGAAAGAGCTCCTGAAGTCCTGGCTAAGGCAGGGCCAAACTGATCCGCTTAACAATTTCATTAGCCAGGGAATGCCATTCCTCGTTTTGTTGTTGTCAAAGCTAGTCGAGGGTTGGTTTCTTGTCACCAGCGACCCAGAGTCCTGACTACTTAAGAGTGTAAAGAGGGTTGATATGTCCAGGCAAGCGTGAGTGCGTCGTTCCAGCGGATGGAGTGAGGCCAGAGAGGAAAGGGGCAGGCCACACGGGGCTTCGAAGGCCTTTGTCGTCAGGGTGCTTTGGGGCCATGGGACCACCGTGAGTAGGGAAGGGACAGCGCCGGCTTTGGTGTGAAAAGACCCATCTGAGGTACTGTATCGAATTTACTGGAATGGGCACGACTGTAGGCAGAGAGATTTAGCAAAAGGAGATAAAGAGGAGGCCCAAGGTCAGGGTCTTGGGTGTTTCTCACTTCCTTAGGCCCCCATGGCCTGGCCCCGGATGAGCGCTCAGGAGCAGTTGGAGCGCATGCGCAGAAACCAGGAATGCGGACGGCCTCTCCCCCGCCCAGCCTCCCCCCGGCTCCTCACCCTGGGAAGGACACTGTCCCCAGCAAGACACCAGCCTGAATTGGAGCAAAGGGTGAGGGAACAGGGTTGGGATGGGGCTGCGGGGTGGTAGTGGGTCCTCTACTCCTAGTTTGAGTCTCAGTTTCCCTCTCTGTAAAATGGGGATACTTCCTACCTCCTTACCCTAAACTGGGTTTCCAGATAGACCCCAGCTTGTACTTGTGCTAAAGTCAGCTTCCTGGGCTCTTTAGCGGGAGGTGGACAGGAGGGAGCGTGAGAGGGGACAGGGCGCGGGGGTCGCAGATCTGGACTGGAAACTCAATTTTCCTTCTTAGTTGCTAGGTGTTGTCAAAGGCAAAAAAGAGAATAAAAAAATTGCGCCAGTAAGGAAACTGATTTTATTTACGCGCTTACGGAGGGCACCCCAGATCCGAACCTCAGGGTGTCTCAGACATCTCAGATGGTGTCACTTTAGATTTTTATAGGAAGGAATCAGATAAGCCACAGGTGTTGGGGGCAGTGAGGATTTTTTTAACCCACGCTGTTTTCCAGGAGCACAGGTAAAGTTAAACATTGTCAGTGTCTTTGGGCAACTTGATCCCCTGTCGCAGCCCCCTCAGTTGGGGACGCGGGGCTTCCAGGTGAGGAGTCCTAATGTCCCAATTCCTTTCCAGACTGTCCTAGGGCACTCAGGATCCCAGAAATGGCTCAGAAGCTCCGGGTCCTGGAGTAGGTAAGGAACTGGAGGGCGGGTCGAGGGAGCAGGAAAATCAATTCTCGAAAGTGGAGAGGAGGAGTATTATTACTAAAGTCTCCTGAGTACTGAACTACAAGTCACAACACTTCTAGAGACGCTTGAGTTCCCAGAGCAGCCGAAACAAACCCAGAAAGCCCTAGATCCGCAGTAGGAACTTCCCTTCCCATAACTGGCTTGGTCGCTAGCAAACCCTGCCCCCTCATCGAGGAGATCGGGTACAATTGACGCGGACGACAAATCCCATAACGCGCGGGCGGTGCGGGGGCGCGCCCTGTTCACTGTCCCTTAGAGACACGCGCTGGGGACTACAAGTCCCAGAAGGACACGCGGGGCGCCGCGGGCCTCGCTGTGCCGGCTCACGGTACCCTCTCCTCCTTTTTCTAGTCCGAGGAACGCCACTCCTTACTTGCCGACGTCCGGAGGCCACCGGGAGCGGGTCCTCAGCCTCTCCCAGGCGCTGGCGGCTGAGGCGTCGCAGTGGCACAGAATGATGACAGGCGAGGGGCGGGGATCCTGGAGTCCGGGGTTTGGGGGAAGACCTGGAATCCGAGCTCCTGGAGAGGAGGGGTCTGCGGGCCGCTAGGAAGTTTTTGTCTTGGACAGGAAAGAGCTGGGCTGGGCTTGGGAATTCTAGGTCCCAGCAAGAGGGGGACCGTGGTCCGGGACACTGGGGAGGAGGAGGTTGGGGGGGAGGACGCCTGAGTCGCAGGGAGGAATGGCCTGAGGGACTGAGGGGTCCGACTACACTCCTGGGTCTGAGAGAAGAAATGGCTGGAAGTCCTGAGTGCCGAAGTTTGACATTTTCATTCTTAACTCTTCCTCTCCAGGTGGGAATTTGGACTCCCAGGGAGACCCTGTCCCCACTGCACCACCGCCTCAGTCGGATCCCACAGCCCAGGAGACCCCTCCCAGATCCCCTCCGGCGGCTGATTCCGGTACCGGGTTCTCGCGCGGGCATAGTGGGCGTGGCGGAGGCCCCACCCCCTGGGAGCGCACGTGGGATTCCGGGACCGCCCCTCCGGTCCCGACGCAGGACGAGGGGGCGTGGCCCCTGCGCGTCACCCTGCTCCAGTCCAGCTTCTAACCTCTCCGACGCGGCGGCCAATCGGAGCGAGAGGGCGTGGCCTGGAGACACCTCTCCCGGCATCTGGGGGCGTGGCCTGGTCGCCGTCGGGGGGCCTGGGAGAGGAGAGGTTTCCGTGTCCAGAGTTTGGTTTTCCCATACTGTTCAAATGTGGATTAAAAGTTTGAATCTTCAGTCAATAGCTCTCTTTCTGTCTGTGTGGGGCTGTCACACCGGGGTCTCTGAGGGGCAGAGCTGGAGTCGTGGACTCCGGGGTCCTGAGGGAGGAAGGGACGCTGGGCTTCTAGCTCGCAGGTCTGGAGTGTGGGGCCCGCGGGGGGAGGGGACAGAGGCCCTGACCCCGGGTCGAGGGGGGCGGGGCTGGGGGCAAGGACCTTGACCTTCCCGGTCGCGCCCGCCGGGGGGCCGGGCTTCCAGGATCCAGCCCTTATGTGCGGTTGGGCCCCACGGCCTCATCAGACTTTGGAGGTGGAAAGGGGCCCCGGGTGAGTGGCCGAGAGAGACTCGAAATGGCCTCAGGAAGGAGCTATGCCGGGAAGGTGGTGATCGTGACCGGGGGCGGACGCGGCATTGGAGCCGGGGTCGCGAGGGCCTTCGGTGAGTACCGGCCTGAGGGAAGGACGGGAGCAGGGGCGAATGAGCGTGGGGAAAGGGGACTCGGGTTCTGGCGTCTGGATTCTGAGCGTGCACAAGCTGATTTGCAATGCTGATTGCAATGGTGAGTGAGTGAGAGGGTGGAAAGCCAAGTAGGTGTTCAGGGCATGGGTGGACGGAGATTTCTCACGCAGAGATTAAGATATAAAAGGTAAAAAAGGCGGCGCGCGGTGGCTCACGCCTGTAATCCTAGTACTCTGGGAGGCCGAGGCGGGAGGATTGCTCGAGGTCAGGAGTTCGAGACCAGCCTGAGCAAGAGTCAGACCCCCCCCCCTACTAAAAGTGGAAAAATTAGCCGCACAACTAAAGATATATAGAAAAAATTAGCCGGGCATGGTGGCGCATGCCTGTAGTCCCAGCTGCTCGGGAGGCTGAGGCAGGAGGATTGCTTGAGCCCAGGAGTTTGAGGTTGCTGTGAGCTAGGCTGACGCCACAGCACTCTAGCTTGAGCAACAGAGTGAGATTTGTCTCAAAAAAAAAAATCATATATATATGTATATATATGTAAAAAAAAAGTTTATTTTATCATTTTATCTTTTAGAAGGACAGGGAGGGGGGAAACAGAGGATAAGCAGGGAGGTGGTCTTGGCATCCCAAAGAAAGAAGGGGATGCCAGCCCTGAGGCCAAGTGGCTTGATGATTTTAAGGGGGAGGATTTGAAAGAAAACACCAGTGATTGTTCTGTCACTTGAAACAGAGGCTCATGCCTGTAATCCTAGCACTCTGGCAGGCCTACTCGGGAGGATCTCTCAAGATCAGGAGTTCGAAACCAGCCTGAGCAAGAGCGAGACCTGCTCCTCTACTAAAAATAAAAAGAAATGAATTGGCAAACTAAAAACATATAGAAAAATTAGCCAGGCATGGTGGCGCATGCCTGTAGTCCCAGCTGCTCGGGAGGCTGAGGCAGGAGGATCACTTGAGCCCAGGAGTTTGAGGTTGCTGTGAGCTAGGCTGATGCCATGGAACTCTAGCCAGATCAACAGAGTGAGACTCTGTCTCAATAAATAAATAAATAAATAAATAAATAAAAGAGAGGCGGCTTTGGGAGTAATTAATAGGAGGCAGCTGCCAGACATCAGGTTGTCCTGTCTTTCTTGCTTTTCCTGTTCCTGGGGACTCTGAAATGTAGTCAGATTTAGCACAGGGGATGTGATTTTGCCTCTGAGACTTGGTTTGGGGCAGGAAACTGAGGCCTGGCATTTGTCCCCTGCTGTCTGTCTGGGGGCTTCTCCGGAACATCTCAAGGGCACAGAAACAGATTCTAAAGGCTGCCAGCCTGGGATGTTCAGAGAAAGATTTGCATTTCCCTTTTGTCTGTTGGGCTTCTTTCTGAAGTTTTGGAAACAGAGTCCCTGCAGGGTGCCTCTTGCCTGACTGGGGAGTGAGTTCATAATTGATCTTTTGCAGTTGTTAGAATATCAGGAGATTAGATATTCTGTTGTTTCTGCTAGGCGGGCCCTGAGGGCCTGCAGTGACAGCCTGGGGCCTGGGTTTGGGGCAAGGTCTCCAAAGGAAGTCACTCCTTTTCTCTAGGTTTGTTAATGAAGCTCCAAAGCGAGTGGGTTATCTGGAGTAGCCTAGGGGAGTACGGTGTTTCCCTGAAAATAAGACATGGTCTTATATTTATTTTTCCTCAAAAAGACACCCTAGGGCTTATTTTCAGGGGTTGTGTTATTTTCCCCTCAAAGCCTCAGCTTGCAGCAGGCACAGGATGGCCGGGACCCAACAGGGGAGCTGACCTTGTTGGTGGGGCTGCCTGCACCTTTCCGGTCACCTCTGGGATAGCAGCTGTCACGATGGGGCAGATGAGAAGGGCTGCTCCTCTTCTTTACCGCTCCACGACGAAATGCATGGGTTGTGCAGATGCGCTGCGGAGCCACGCCCATCACTCGGGCTTATTTTTGGGGTAGGGCTTCTCTTGTGCAAATGCTTAGAAATCCTGCTAGGGCTTATTTTATGGGTAGGTCTTATTTTCGGGGAAACGCGGTATGGGTCAAGGCCTCTGCCCTTTGTCCGAGGGCACTTGGATCACGAGGGGAAGATGAGGGAGAGAAGCCCCACTTCAAGTGGCCACAAGGGGACAGCAGAGGCCTTCACCAAGTGGTAACCTGGTCTCTCCCTTCTCAGTGGACGCTGGTGCCCAAGTGGTAATCTGCGACAAAGTAGGTGAGTGAAGGCCCCTCAGTCCTCACTTCTGCTTCCTCCCCAGGGGTCTGTGCCCCTAGTCCCTCCTTCCCTAGACCCAGGGGTCCAGCCCCAGCCCCTCCTGCCTCAGACTCAGGGGTCCAGCCCCAGCCCCTCCTCCCTCAGACCCAGGGGTCCATGTCCCCAGCCCCTCCTCCCTCAGACCCAGGGGTCCATGTCCCCAGCCCCTCCTCCCTCAGACCCAGGGGTCCATGTCCCCAGCCCCTCCTCCCTCAGACTCAGGGGTCCATGTCCCCAGCCCCTCCTCCCTCAGACCCAGGGGTCCCAGCCTTTCCTCCCTCAGACCCAGGGGTCCATGTCCCCAGCCCCTCCTCCCTCAGACACAGGGGTCCGGACCCCAGCTCTCCCCTCCCTGCAGATCCTGGTGGCCAGGCCCTGGAGAAGGAGCTTCCTGGAGTTGTCTTTATCCACTGTGACGTGACTTCAGAAGAAGATGTGAGGGTGAGAGAATTTTCCCCTCTATTCCCCATCTCTAATAATTACCTCTCTCTCTCTCCATTCTCCTCTGGGTGTTTGCACATGCTGTTCCCTCTACTTTTCCCTCCTTTCCTGGCTAAACTGTGTCTGCCACGAAGGTCTCAGCCCAGTGCCACCCACGCATGCGCATTAGGCTTTCCTTGGTTCTGATGACCAGGTCACGTTCCTGGGTTTGTTCTCCTTCATCACCTCCGTCTCCAAGGCTCAGCACATCTGCCAGGTGGATGGAAATGAATAAATCCCTCCAAGTGGGCCTCCTGTGACATTTTTCTTCCTGTTTCTGGGTTTTCTGCCCCTTCTATTTAATCAGTGTCTGTTATGTGCCCCCTTGGGTCTCTGCTCCTCTGTCTTTGGGTCTCTGTCCCCTCTCCTCTCTGGATCCCTGCCTATTTCCATCCCTGGCATGACAGTGTGGTGCTGACCAGGTCTCTGGGCTCTGGCACCTGGGCCTTCCTGTCGCTTCCTGTCCTGCTGTGCCTGGTGAAGCTGGGTGTCCCCCTGCTTCCTCCAGCTCCTGTCCTGTGAGCTCGGCACCCAGCTTCCCACCCCAGCCTTGCTTTTGGGGGCTTAGGGAGCGCCGGCTCCTGCAAGGTGGGCCCGCACAGCCTGGCTCATCGCCATGTTTGCTTCCTCCCCAGACTCTGATCTCCGAGACCATCCGCCAGTTCGGCCGCCTGGACTGTGTGGTCAACAACGCCGGTTACCGTGAGTCGTGGGGCCTGAGGGCCACTCCCCACTGATGTCAACTGGCCTCCTGGCCCCACCCCTTCCTCCTGAACCTCAGTTTCCCCTTTCCCCACCCTGATCCTGCCCCATTCCTCTTCCTGTCCCCTGAGACAGGAGAGTGCAGCCTTAAATGCTGCCTTAAATGCTGGTTCTGTTCCTTCCTTCCGGTGTGTCCCCATTCCTGTGCCCTCACCTGTCCATGCCCCTGCATCTCTAGAGTGGGGATGATGGTCACCATCACAATGACAGTGACCCTGTCGGGCACACACCTCGGCCCTGCAGGCACAGTGTTCTCATTTCTGAAGTGACACCATGGCCCTTCCCTTTGCCAGTGACGGCGAAGGTGGAGTCACCATGCACGGCTGTGGGACTTGGTGTGGTGGCTCCCACCAGAAACTGCCATCAGCTTAATGACCACCCTCCATAAGAATACCTCACATTGGTAAACTGAGGCTCAGAGAGCGAGTTGATTGGACTGGGCTCACCCTGCAAGGCCGTGGCAGAGGAAAACTGCTGTCAGCTTGGCTCACCCTCTCCGGGCTGCAGTTTCCTCCTTAAATTGTTTTTCTTTTTCTGTCCTATCCTCTACTCCTCTCCTTCAGTTGTTGTAAAGATTTAAAGAAACAGCAGACACTAGTTCATCCTTTTTCTGTGCAGCCTTTGTTCTCGGACAGATGCTGACTGTCGCCTACTATGTCCTACTTCCCTTTGTGGGGAGCAAGGGTTTAGCAGTGACAAAATAGAGAAATCTGCTGTCCTCTGCCACGCCGGAAGGTGTGAGGGTAAAAAGCCCAGTAGGTGCTCACGGCGCGGGTGGAGAAAGATTTCTCAGGCAGAGATTAATATATAATAGTAAAAAAAGTTTATTTTATCTAGAGGTGGGGAAGAGAGTAGTGAGATGGTTGTCACCCTTGTCAATGGAAAAAAGCCAAACTCTGTAAAATAATTTTAAAGTGATTTATTCTGAGCCAAATTTGAGGATCTCGACTAGGAACCACTGCCAAGAGGCCTTGAGCAGTGGATTTGATGTGGTTAGGTTACAGTTGGTTTTTTTTTTTATTATTATTATTTTTATTTTTTGACACAGAGTCTCTCTCTGATGCCCGGACTAGAGTGCCGTGGCATCAGCCTAGCTCACAGCAACCCCAAACTCCTGTGCTCAAGTGATCCTCCTGCCTCAGCCTCCGGAGTAGGTGGGACTACAGGCATGTGCCACCATGCCTGGCTAATTTTTTCTATATATATATATTAGTTGGCCAATTAATTTCTTTTTATTTATAGTAGAGATAGGGTCTCGCTCTTGCTCAGGTTGGTTTCGAACTCCTGAGCTCAAACGATCCGCCAGAGTGCTAGGATTACAGGCATGAGCCACCACACCAGGCCTACAGTTGGGTTTTATACATTTCAGGGAGACAGGGGTTACAGGTAAAGTCATAAATCAATTTGTGGGAGGCATACATTGGTTTGGCCCCAAAAGGTGGGACATCTCGAAGGGAGGGGCTTACAGGTTATAGGTGGGTTTAAAGATTCTTTGGGTTGTGATTGGTTAGACATGAAGCTTTGTCTAAAGGCTTAGAATGTTTTAACTAAGGAGCTGTTAGCAGAGACAAGCCACCAGACATAGATTTGTGGTGTAAATGGAGGACCTGCAGGTTTGTCTTGCATACCATCAGGCCTGTTAATGGGTTACAAAGGATGTCCCCAAGAAGGGAAGGGGGCATAATAAGGCATGGCTGACCTCCTTCTACCTGGCAGGCAATTTTGTTTTAGGATATTCCTCTGGCCACACCATGATGGGGTCTATTTAGTCAGCCAGTGTGTGTGGGGTGAGCCTTAAAGTTTTATTTTAGTTTACACCTCAGAGAAAGAGAAGGGAGATGCCAGCAGCGAGGCCAAGTGGCTTGATGCTTTTATGGGGACAAAGAGGAAGAGAAAAATAGTAATTCTTGTGGAGTAATTAGTGGGAAGCAGCTGGGAGATGTCCAGTTGTCTGTCTGTCTTGCTTTTTCTGTTCTTGGTGACTTGGTTATCTCTGAAATGTAGTCAAACTTAGCGCAGGGGACGCAATTGTGCTCGAGTTATGGTTTGGACAGGAAACTGAGGCCTGGCCTCTTCCCCCCCTGCTGTCTGTCCAGGGTCTTCTCAGAAACCCCTTGCGGATACAGAAACAGATTCTATAGGTTGGGAGCTGGTGTTGTACAGAGAAAGAGCCACATTTCCTTTCTGTCTGTTGGGCTCCCCTCAGAGCTTGTGAAAACAGTCCCAGCCAGCTAGGGAGAGAGCTCCTGGGATTGATCTTTAGCTGTTATTAAAAAATTGCTGGGCTGGGCTCGGTGGCTCATGCCTGTAATCCTAGCACTCCAGCAATTTTCTTTATTTTTTTTTTTATTTTTATTTATTTTTTATTTTTTTTTGAGAGAGAGATTCTCGCTTTGTTGTCCAGGCTAGAGTGAGTGCCGTGGCGTCAGCCTGGCTCACAGCAACCTCAAACTCCTGGGCTCGAGCGATCCTTCTGCCTCAGCCTCCCAAGTAGCTGGGACTACAGGCATGCGCCACCATGCCCGGCTAATTTTTTCTATATATTTTTAGTTGTCAAGCTAATTTCTTTCTATTTTTTTTTTAGTAGAGGCAGGGTCTCACTCTTGCTCTGGCTGGTTTCTAACTCCTGACCTCAAGCAATCCGCCTCGGCCTCCCAGAGTGCTAGGATTACAAGCGTGTGTGAGCCACCGCCCCAGCCAGTAAAGAAGTTTTATAGCTTTGCTTTTCCCAGCAAAGGAGGATGGAGACTCCAATCTGCAATGCTAATAAGCTTCTGGCATTTTCTGCTCAACTACAGTTGATGATTCTGATTGTCGCATCTTGGTCTGTGACCTTGGTCCAGGTCCTCCCTTTACCTGGTGGGGGCAGGTGCGATACATGTACGGAAGGCGACAGGTGCCATCATCTCTCTGTTGCAAATAACAAAAGACTCCCAGCCCGCTCCCAACCACTGGCCTTTGGCAGGGAGCACGGTTTCAGTTCGTCAAAAAACGATCTAATAGGAGATAGACTGAAGTGCTCCGACCTGGTCTTAATGAACTGAGTCTTCGTTGGGCTCAGTCAGAGGGTAATAGCCTAGCACTGGAAGCTAGCTGGGCAAAGACCGCATGTATTACCGAGCAGACATATATTGCTGTTCAACGCGCGAGGCTATTTTTCAACTTAAGATTACCATATCAGTCCTGACTCGTATTGAAGTTATGCCTACATTAAACGCGCATCTCTACCCATAATGAAATTGTGAGTATGGGAGAAAATACAAGATAAAGAGAGCATGAAATTAAATTTGGAACCCCGATACACACTAATATATATATTCAATAAGCTACTATACATGAATTACAAATCCAGGCCTCGACGCATGGTGGTCCGTCGTGCCCTGTATTCGTTCACACCAACAGCTCACTCCGGGCCGAGGAGGCTAGGAAGGGACAGTAGGGATGGCCTGTTGGAGCCCTCAGGAGATTGAGTTGCCTGGTTGAGCTAGGCTCGACTCACAGCACCTCTAGCCAGGCAAGTAAGAGTGAGGACCTGCCTGCTCGGTTGCAACAACAACACAAATATAAAAGCATTGGCATAAATTTGGGTATTGTGGATGACAAAACTTATATACACAACTTCATGTGAAATGATATCACATATTGCTAACTTTAAAATTGGCCAGTGTACCTTGTTTTATCTCTGCAAACAAGATGAGGCAGTGTATTATAATTTTGATTAAAGCAAACACAATAGAAAATATATATTTGTCATTGCATTAGGGAAATAATATAATAACAGGACATCTTGCCCTGGCCGGAAATGGAGTCATTTTACAAATAAGCCTGTTCACTAAAATATATTTGTAACCCCAGAATTGTTATTCTCTCTCCCGGGTTATTCACGGACACATGCAGGGTGGCAAAAATTTGAGGCGACAAGCTGCCTCTTGTATTGGCTCTCAGACAGACACCCTGTGGCACAACTGTGGCAGGGGGTACGAGAAGCTCCAGCTCTTTCTGGGCTAGTTGGGCCAGTTGAAATCCCAGCTGTTACCTGTTAGTGGGGCGACCTCAGGCAAGTCCCTTGACACTCTGAACCCTGATTTCTTGTTTGTGAAATCAAGACTGTAGAGTCTACTAGTATGAGTTGTCTTTAGGGTTTAAGATTATCATCTATATTAGGTATGTATGTATCGACATATGTACATATATTGTATATATCGTGTATATTTCGATGCATATATATCTCATATATCCTGGTGACTTTATGGGACATAACTGCTGTGAATTGCAAGAATGGACTGTAGATAGTAGCACGGCCAGTGTCAATTAAGTCTATGGAGAAAAACAAAGCTGGCCAGGGGTGGAGGCTCACACCTGTGATCCCAGCACTTTGGGAGGCCGAGGCAGGCGGTTTGCTTGAGGCGAGGAGTTGGAGACCAGCCTGGGCAAGAGAGAGAAGCCATGTCTACTAAAAATAGAAAAATTAGGAGGGTGTGGTGGCGTGTGCTTTTTTAGTCCCAGTTGCTTGGGAGGCTGAGGCAGGAGGATCTCTTGAGCCTAGAAGTTTGAGGCTGCAGTGAGCTATGACAACAAGCTACTGCACTCTGGTCTGGGCTTTGCAGAGTGAGACTTAAAGAAAAAAAGGGAGGGAGGAAAGGAAAGGAAAAAAAGGAAGGAAGGAAGCCGACTGAAGGTGCAGGTAGTGACGAGGGTGTTTGGATGGCGGGTCTGGGGAGGCTCCTTTGAGGATGTTTGTACGGATCCCTGGAGGGAGTGAGGCAGTCATTCCCTGATGTCTGGGAGGAATGTTTCCTGAACTTTCTGCCCCTGGTCTTGCTTCCCATCTCTCTGCCCCTCGTCCACTTGTCTGCTAATTCTGATGCCTTTGGGGCACCTGGGTCGGCTCTTCCACTTGTCTTTCCCTTTGTCCTCCCTCCCCACCGTCCAGCTCTCTGTCCCCTGAATGTTGACTTCTCTGTCCCTCTACCCTCCCCATTCTCTCTATGTATTTAACAAACACATGCATGGCACCGTCTGGTGCAGATATTGTCATGTGAAATTTACATGTCCAAGAACAAGGTGTTACCCTCATCCCGGAGACCAGGAAACAGGCACAGAAAGGAAAAAAGGGACTTGCCTGAGGTCACGAAGCCAGGGAGTGGCAGGGGTGAGCACGAGGGAGCTGGCCTTTCTCTTTAACCCACGTGCAGCCTCGTTCCTTTGTGTGTTCGCGGCCCTCGGTCTGCCATTCCTGCCAGTTCCCCAGTCCCCTCCTGGTCACTGTCTCCACTCCTTGTTCTGTCCTGGCCACTCCCTCACTCTCCTCTCTCTCCCCCACTCCCACCTCAGACCCAGTGGATCAGCGGCTCACGGAGACCACCACCGACGGTTTTCGCCAGCTGCTGGAGCTGAACCTGCTGGGGGTTTACAGGGTGACCAAGGTGAGCACGGGGCATTGGGTTGTGACACCCATTTTGTCTAAGAGCAAAATGTTTCCTGTTCCTTTGTTTGATCTCCTTGTTCCAAAAGGACCCTGGTCTTTGTAGAAAGTAAATGGGGGGAGATTGCTTGCATCCAACAAAAGGTACCCATGTAGCTGCATGGCTCAGCCTTCTTAGGAACCTTCCAGGACCTTCCAAACTGGTGCAATGGTGGTGGGAGGGGACATTAAGAACATAGGGGGACCAGGTGAGGTGGCAAATGCTTGTAATCCCTGCATTTGGGGAGGCCAGGAATTTGAGACTAGCTTGGGCAAGATAATGCGACTTTGTCTCTACAAAAAATTTTAAAAATTAAATTAGCGGGGCATGGTGGTACATGCCTGTAGTTCCAGCTACTTGGGAGGCTGAGGCAGAAGCATCGCTTGAGCCCAGGAGTCTGAGGTTGCTGTGAGCTAGGCTGACACCACTGTACTCTAGCCAAGGTGACAGAGTGAGACTATCTCAAAAAAGGGAAAAACAAAAAGTACCAGGCCCAGAGAAGCATTTAAAATGTAACATCAGATACATCTCACGCCTACTTAAGCTAAATAATTACCTCTTGAAGCCACTTGCTGTGTGGGCTCTAGACTAACTGCCGCCCAAGTACCCATAAAATGCCACACACCCTATAGCTCCACAGTGGCCGGCCAATCAGGGCCCAGTGTTATTTCTGTCAGCCAATGGGCACTGGTGACGTCTGTAATCACCTCCTGTCCTAACTATCCTTTATTCTTTTTTTTTTTTGAGACAGAGTCTCGCTTTGTTGTCCAGGCTAGAGTGAGTGCCGTGGCGTCAGCCTAGCTCACAGCAACCTCAAACTCCTGGGCTCAAGTGATCCTCCTGCCTCAGCCTCCCGAGTAGCTGGGACTACAGGCATGCACCACCATGCCCGGCTAATTTTTTGTATATATATTAGTTGGCCAATTAATTTCTTTCTATTTATAGTAGAGACGGGGTCTCGCTCTTGCTCAGGCTGGTTTCGAACTCCTGACCTCGAGCAATCCGCCTGCCTCGGCCTCCCAGAGTGCTAGGATTACAGGCGTGAGCCACCACGCCCAGCCTATCCTTTATTCTTTAAAAATCTGAGCCTCTCTTTTGTTCTCGGAGCACTCAGGTGAGGCAACTTGGAAGTGTGTCCCGGCTGTAGTCCTCTACCTTGGCCCTAACTGAACTCTCAATAAAAAGGACAAAATGTCACCGCAGAAAAATCTTTCCTGGCGCTCCTTGCTTATGTGGCATCTATACACACATCCTTTCTTGGTGATAACAGCACTTTTCTTCATTGCACTTTTTAAGTAATTAGTTCAACAAATATTTATATAGAACCAGTGATATGCTACGCCCTGGGCATGTAGTGGCATTGAACAAAACAGACAAAAATCCCTGTTGCTGGCCGGGCGCGGTGGCTCACGCCTGTAATCCTAGCACTCTGGGAGGCCGAGGAGGACGGATTGCTCGAGGTCAGGAGTTGGAACCCAGCCTGAGAAAGAGTGAAACCCCATCTGTACTAAAAATAGAAATAATTGGCCAACTAAAAGTATATAGAAAAAAATTAGCCGGGCATGGTGGCACATGCCTGTAGTCCCAGCTACTCGGGAGGCTGAGGCAGGAGGATCGCTTGAGCCCAGGAGTCTTAGGTTGCTGTGAGCTAGGCTGACGCCAGGGCACTCTAGCCCGGGCAACAGAGTGAGACTTTGTCTCAAAAAAAAAAAAAATCCCTATTGCTGGGAGCTGGCGTGTTCCGTCAGAGGAGGCAGGTAGTGAGGACGGAAATGTAGCCTATAATGTCAGGGAGGGACAGATGCAAAAATGTGAAGGGAAGTCAGATGGTAGAGAGTGATGGCGTTGTGTGTGCTAGTTAAGAAAACTTGTTGTTATTTTTGCAAGTACATTTGCAAGGGCGTTTTGCAAGTACAGCCTACACCAAAGTGGGGACAGTCCTGTGTGGAATCTCACCGGCCCATTGCTCGGTGCCAAGAATTGCCAGCATTCTGATAACTCAGTATGTATCTTTAGCAAATGAGGGCTTTTAAAAAGTGGCTTTTTGTGCTCTTTTAGACAGGGTGGGGTGCTCAGGGAAGGCTTCTCTGAGAGGTGGCATTTGAATCAAGACCCGAAGAGTGGTTGGGCAGAGGAGCAGCCAGTGCAAAGGTCCTGGGGTGGAGGGGTGCCTGGTTTACGGGAGGAACAGTGAGAGGCCGGTGAGGCTGGCACCGAGTGAGCGGGAGAGGGTGGGACAGGAGGGCAGAGAGAGGGCAAATGGGGGACCAGATTGAGCTGGACCTTGTGGGCCACAGAGAGGACTTTGCTTTGACATCAAAGGGTTCTGAGCATAGATGGGAGCTGCCTTAAGTGGGAACTGGTGCCCTCTGGGACCACGTGGGGACCAGACTGCAGAGCGAGGGCTGAGATGGGAGCCCTACAAAAAGGTGGCTGGGGTAGTTGAGGTGGGAGGTGACAGTATGAGTTTTTTAGGTTGATTTGTTCCCCCTACCCCCAGAATCTGGCAGGACAGAGCTGCCACCTGCTGCCGCAGGAAGCCTGGGAGGGAGAGGGTCTGGGCTGGGGAGGGGGCCGTGGAGAGTGAGATGTCCACCGGACATCTCCAATTTGATGGTCAGGGGACTGTGGGATTCCACTGGGCTGGGACCAGGGCTGAGGTCTGGAAACATTAGTTACATCAGTTTGGGGCTGACAGGCTTGAAGCTGGAGGAACTCAGGGGAGCAAAGGTAAGCAGAGAGGGGAGACCCCCAGGGGCCTCAGTGTGGGGGAGCCTGGCTACTGACTTTGAGGGCCCTTCTGAGATCCAGGTGAAATGTCCTTGGACGCTTGAGCAATCCACTGCTCGGTGGGGACCCCGGCTTCTGTCCTCAGCTTCTGTTGGCCTTTTAAGATTGACCCAACACTTAAACACCTCCACACATAAGACACAACTATACCCAAGCCTATAAAGGGTTAATATGGGTATTTATTTTTTTTCATTAGTTGCCAACATTTAAAAAGAAATTTTGTGGCTGGACGCGGTGGCTCACGCCTGTAATCCTAGCACTCTGGGAGGCCGAGGCAGAATGATTGCTTAAGGACAGGAGTTTGAGCCCAGTCTGAGCAAGAGTGAGACCCTGTCTCTATTGAAAATAGAAAATATTAGCCGGGCATGGTGGCGCATGCCTGTAGTCCCAGCTACTCGGGAGGCTGAGGCAGAAGGGTCGCTTGAGCCCAGGAGTTCAAGGTTGCAGTGAGCTATGATGAGGCCACTGCACTCCAGCCAGGGCCACAGAGGGAGACCGTGTTTCAGAAAAAAAGAAAAGAAAGCAAAGAAAAGAAATTTTGCATAAGCAACTGGAAAACTGGTTTCTCTCTCTCTCTCTCTCTTTTTTGAGACAGAATCTCACTCTGTTGCTCAAGCTAGAGTGCGATGGCATCAGCCTAGCTCACAGCAACCTCCAACTCCTGGGCTCAAGCGATCCTCCTGCTTCAGCTCCCGAGTAGCTGGGACTACCAGGCATGCGCCACCATTGCCCGTAATTTTTTCTATGTATTTTTAGTTGGCCAATTAATTTCTTTCTATTTTTAGTAGAGACGGGGTCTCACTCTTGCTCAGGCTGGTTTCAAACTCCTGACTTTGAGCCATCCGCCACTTTGGCCTCCCAGAGTGTTAGAATTATAGGTGTGAGCCACCTCGACTGGCCTGGTTTCTCTTTAAAAGTCAGTAAACTGGACCTGTGGGGCAGGGAGACTGTCTGCTACATGTAGCCCAGTTCTCTATTGTGCCCCAGTCTCTGCCTCCCCTCATTGGGCCACCAAAGCCTGTGGCCTGTGAGTGATCTATATAGAAGCCTCACTTGGGAGTTAGAGGTCTCGATCTGGGGCTTGCTTGCTTAAGTCCTCTGCCACTTCCTACCTGCCAGGTCATGCAAGTTACTCATCCTTTCTCTGCCTCCGTTTTCTCATCTGGAAAATGGGGCCAATAATAGTGTCTAATTGGAAGAGTTGTTCTGAGGATTGCCTGAGATAAAATGAAAAATACCCACGAAGCCCTCAGAGCATGCCTGGCACTCAGTTCACCCTCTGCAGTTATTATGTATCATGAACCTTGCCCCATTTTGTTTCTTGTGGCCAAGTTGCCCCACTCAGTGTGAGATCCCTGGGATAGGTGTTGGGCAAATGGAGCCTGGGGAAAGTAGAAGGGAAAAAGTGAGAGCTGAGCTGGGCCAGGAGTGGGATGGAAGGAAGTGAAGTTAGGAGACAAGGTGTTGCACTCACCAAGAAGAGTGTGCAAAGGCCCTGGGGCAGGCGCCAGCAGGTATATCTTAAGATGAACATCTCGTGAAGCAGCCCATCCCTATCTCCAGCTTCTGCAATTATAAACATTTTGTTAAACTTGTTCTACCCATTGCCTCTTGCCACCCCTCCCCAGATGTCATATGACTTTATCAGTAAGAACTCCATGGCTGGATGCAGTGGCTCATGCCTATAATCCTAGCACTTTGGGAGGCCAAGATAGGAGGACCACTTGAGGCCAGGAGTCCGAGACCAGCCTGGACAACACAATGAGACCTCATCTCTATAAAAAAAAATTGTAAAAATAGCCAGCATTGTGGTGGGCACCTGTAGTCCCAGCTGAGGCAGGAGGATCACTGGAGCCCAGGAGTTCGAGGCTGCAGTGAGCTATGATCTTGCTGCTGCACTGCAGCCTAGGTGACAGAGTGAGACCCAGCTACATGAACCCAGAAGTCCCCAAATATCTTATTATAGTTTGTTCGCACTGGGATCCAGACTAGGTCTGCCTATGGCATTTAGTTTTCCTGAGAGTGAAGACTTTGTCTGCTGGGTCATGCCTCTGTCCCGGCGCCTAAAGCAGTGCCTGTTAGGAAGAAATCTGTGAACACTTGTAAGTTGCAGCCCTCATCATCATCATCATCAATACCATCATCATCATCACCACCACCACCAAAATCCTTTGGAAGCTCTTTAAATGCTGATTCCGGGGCCCCTGTCCAGACCTCTGATTCAGAATCTGTGGGTCTTTTGTCCTCCCTGGTCGATTCTGATAGAAGCCAAAGTTTATGACTCCCTACGCTAGAGAAAACAAGGAGGGATTAGGGCTGTTTATATAGTTAAGGAAATAGTATCTTGTGGGCAGTAGGGATCCGCAGAAGGTGCTGGAGCAGGAGTAGGGTGCAGGAGGTGTCAGTCGTAGGCTCTCAGAGCTGGATCCGTTCTTATAGAACCATCCATTCATTCATCAAACATTAACTGAGCCTGGTAATGTTCTAGGTGCTGGGGCTACAGCGGGGAGCCGGGCCCCTGTGTTTTTGGCTTACAGTCCTGCAGCAGCCATAGATGGATGAGTTTCCAAGAATGGGTGCTTCTCATTAGGAAGGGGATGGGTGTGGCTCTGGAGGGAGGCAACCCTTCTGGGAGCTGGGCCAGGCTTCCAACTGCAGTCCCCAGAGGAGGGGTGGGGCTGGATGGAGTGAGAGAAAGGAACAGTGCAGGGAGAGGCTGGCCTGGGGAACAGATCCTGCAGGGTCTTGAGGGCCATGCTGTGGCATCTGGTCTTTATCTTAAGAGAGCAGTAGGGAGCCATGAAAGGTGTTTGAGCAAGGACATGACTTTCAGCCTCCTGAGTAGCTGGGACTAGAGGCATGCGCCACCATGCTCGGCTGATTTTTTTTTTCTATATATTTTTAGTTGGCGAATTAATCTCTTTCTGTTTTTAGTAGAGACAGGGTCTCGCTCTTGCTCAGGCTGGTCTCGAACTCCTGACCTTGAGCGATCCTCCTGCCTTGGCCTCCGAGAGTGCTAGGATTACAGGAGTGAGCCACCACGCTTGGCCTGATCTCATTAATATTAACAGATCACTCCGGCTTCTATATGTAAGAGGGACAAATCAGAAGGCCAAATGCAAGTGCAGGAAAACCATTATTAGTGTTTTCAAGGCCCCTGTCCTTCTCTGACCTCCCCTCCCACCCCGGGGCCTTTGCACTCGCTGTTCCTCTGCCTGGTAAGTCCTTTCTCCAGATTTCCCCACCACTCATACCCTTACTCAAGGTCTTTGCTCCTTCCTAAGGCCTCCCTGAACATACTCATTAGAACTGTACCCCCCCAAACACTCCCAGCCCCTCATCATCCGTGCTTGTTTCGGATGCCACCTTCCGCTACAGGACACCCATCTGTGGCTGTGTCTTCCGGCAGAACCTCGGCTCTGTGTGGGCAAGAACCTCTCTCTTTCTGTCTTGTTTTCTGAGGCATCCGTGGCATTTACCATGGCACCTGGCACATAGTAGGTGCTCAATAAATGCTTATTGAATGAGGCAGAGAGAATTGCATAGATCCAAAAGATCTTAGGAGCGACGGCTGCCAGGGCTTGATGCTGGTATGGCTGAGGCTCTGGAAGATTCCCATGTCGCTGGCTTGAGACCCTAGTTGGGAGCCAGTGTCATGTGGGAAGCTGGGAACGGAAGGGGGGGCCCAGTGGGGTCAGTTCTGTATTTGGGACACTGGGATTGAGATGTCCATATGTCTGGGACATCAGGAGCTCCAGAGGGCAGGTCCCAGAGAGATTTAGGGGATGCAGGTGGGAAACCAGCAAATTTGGGGGCTCCCCCGGCAAAGCTTGGAGAGAGAAGCAGGCTCAGGAACTCTGAAATCTAGGGAACATGGGGTGAAGCTGGAGGACATCCAGTGTGTGACAGGGAGGGCGGGAGGGTGGGGGAGGGGAGTCAGCCCAGTACAAGCCCTGCGGCCAGCACAGGTGCTCAGTGACCTTGCGGGCTGGGGAAGGACACTGGCCAAGGAATGTGCCATGTGTGCAAGGGCTGGGAAGGGGACTGGGGAGAGTGTGGGACAAATATTTATTGAGCTCCAGCTGTGTGCCTGCTGCTGGGCCGGGTGAAGGTGGCAGGAACCACGTCTGAGGCTCCTGTGGGCAGCGTGGGGGGAGGGGAGTTACACAGCAGGGATAGGGTGCAGGGCAGGCTGGGGTGGGGCTGCTGAGGGGAGTAGGGCAGAGGCTGAGAGGGTGCGGGTGGGCTCCTGAGGTGACAGCCAGGGGACTCCCCACCCCGCCAATGCCCACATAGTCACGTGGCTCATGCTCTGATCATCTTAGAGTTGTCAGGAACTCCTGCCCATTTATGGGCTTTGGCCTCAGACTGCGGGCAGCAAATATGGGCTCTGTCAGGTGTCACATGACCTTCTGTGATGTGTCAGTCTCCTCATTTGTAAAATGGGGCTACTGCTGTACCTTTTTGTAGGGCAATGAGGAGGATTAAATGAGTTTATCCACGTGAAGAGCTGAGAGCAGGACCTGACACGTACCGAGTCCTTAGCACATCCATTCATTCTTCGAAAGATATTTGAGGCCAGATGCCAGGGCGGTGGTTCACGCCTGTAATTTGAGCACTCTGGGAGGCCAAGGCAGGAGGATCAGTTGAGCCCAAGTGTTTGAGGTTGCTGTGAACTAGGCTGACACCACAGCACTCTAGCTGGGCAACTGAGTAAGACTCTGAGTCAAAAAAAAAAGTGACCCAGAGAGGGTGACAGAGTCAGAGACACAGAGAGAAACCCCTTCAGACAAGAAGAAACTCCGTACGTGCTGAGACCCAGAGACCCTAGGGCAAACCAGAGAAGGTACTAGATGCTGTCGCCATGGGCCACCAAGATCAATTAGGAGCATGCAGGGAGATGGTCACCGTCCCAGACATCAGGATGCCTGCAGCTGTGTTTTAGTGAGCTGGTGAGATCCAGGGCTTGGTTGACTTATTTTTCCTTCTGTCTTCCTAGTACGCCCTTCCCCACCTGCGGAAGACCCAGGGGAACATCATCAACATCTCCAGCCTGGTAGCAGCGATTGGCCAGTCCCAGTCAGTTTCCTATGTGGCCACCAAGGTACACCACCTTGCCATGCGCCTTCCTTGCTCCCGTGGGCTTTGGCTTTGAGGCTGGCCACTTTAAGAGTGGGACCCAGCAAGACCTTGGCTGGGAGAATGACACATCCGACTCCCACGTTCAGCCCCAAGGCATAACAACCTGTGACAAATTGCCACCCCTCCGTGTTTGTCCTGAGAAACAGACGTGTGGCATCTAAGGAGAGCGTGGCTTATCCGTTCTGATGCTGCCTGTTGTGGGGAGAGGACAGGAGGGGCACCATCTCCAGGGGACTGAACTTTCTCTGGGCCCCGTTTTCCGCAGGGGGCAGTAACAGCCATGACTAAGGCCTTGGCCCTGGATGAGAGTCAATACGGTGTCCGAGTCAACTGGTGAGCAACTCCAAGTCGGCCGAGAGCCTCCTGGGGGAACTGGGGAGGCTGGGAGTGAGCCCAAGAGCGGCATTGGAGACAGACTTCTCTGATCCCCCTCCCTTCCCCCAGCATCTCCCCAGGAAACATCTGGACCCCATTATGGGAGGAGTTGGCAGCCTCAACACCTGACCCCAGGGCCACAGTCCTAGAGGGCACCTTGGCCCAGGTAGGAGCGGGGGCCATGGTCAGGGGGAGGAGGTGGCTTGGGGGTGGCCATCAAGTGGGACTCCTCTTGACCCCCACTTCTCCCTTCTCTCCCCAGCCCATGGGCCGCATGGGCCAGCCCGCTGAGGTGGGGGCTGCGGCAGTGTTCCTGGCCTCCGGAGCTACCTTCTGCACAGGCATGGACCTGTTTTTGACAGGGGGTGCAGAGCTGGGCTACGGGCGCAAGGCCAGTCCGGGCACCCCCGTGGACATCCCTCCTAGTCACTGGTGATTTCTCACATTTCCACCTGGGACTCCCTGCCTAGGACTCCCCTCCCCCCAAATCCAACCTGCACCGTCTGCCTCCTCCAGCCCCTTAGACTTCAAGACCACTTAGGAATGTGCCAGATCCCCCTGCAGTTTCCCATAAAAGCAATTTGCAGCTGGAAGGAGAACATGGTTGTATTTATTTCCCGCCTTTTCTAGGAGTCCTTCTGGGGCGCTCAGCCTCACGTGTTGCCTCCCTGAGGCACTACAGCTCCTATACAGGCCAGCAGGTACCCGATGCTGCTAGTGCCTGTCGCCTGTCTCCAGGGGCTCCTGGGAAAGGCAGAGCAGTTTGGCTTCACCTGTGTGCTAATTAAAAGGCCCGCAGGGGAGAGTAAATTGAGCGCTAATTAGGAGATAATGGAGGAGAAGCGAAAGGGCCTCCCCTTTATTCTTGGCTTTAGGGAAACGGAGTTTTGACCTTGCCTGTGGAGCAGGAAGGTGGCTGCCACTAAGTCCAGAGGGAAGAGGAAGTGGGGGGTGGAGACTCCTGGGTTTGGGGGAGGAGGGCACTGGGGCCTCCCCGCCTAAGGAGGAGCAGACCGTGTATTCCCCTGGTGGCGCCCAGGGCCCAGTCCGGGTTACGCCCCCCAGGTGAGGGCGGGGCTGCAAAGCTGCTGCGGATTGGCCGCGGTGGGGGCGTGTGCGGCAATCGCTGATTGGCCGCGGCGGGGGCGGGAGTCTGGGCACCGCCCCTACAGCCCGGGCTAGTGGCGGGGGAGGACTGGGGAGCGGAGAGGAAAGCCCGGGCCACACCCTGAGGGGGAGGGTTCGACATTCGGGTGCTCGGGCCTGTGGCTGTTAGGGGTGAGGGGCACAGTGACCCGGGGACACCATCTGGGGGCATTGTGGGGATAGAATTTGGAGACAGTGTGCCAGGGTAGAATTATAGAGGCACAGTGGTCAAGGGACCGGATTTTGGTGTCGGAGGAACCCGGATGCAGGAGTTTGGGGGACACACAGTGACCGAGCAGCACAATACCGGGGGCACTGACGCAGGTTTGAATTGCTGGGGTCAGAGAGATCCTGGAGGAGTCGCTCGTGCAGGGGAGTGACCGGGAAACCCTGCTCTCGGGGCTGTTCTCTGAGGCTCACTGATAACTGGAGGGTTGAAATTTTTCGAGATTCTCAGGAGAAAGGGACTGGAACCAGCCACGCTGACCCGTGTGTATTTCTTTTATAATCTCTTAAAGAGTTTCAAAGAATCCACTTACATTGTTTGGTTGGTAAGAAAAACTATATTCAAACAGGGAAGTATCCAGACTGCAAAGTGAAGCTCCCCTTCATCCCTACCTACCATCCAATTCAGAAGTGCTTTCCCAAAGTCCCATCCTTCTGCGCATTTCCGTGACGTCTGCGCCACTGACATTCATAGCGTGCTCTTCCTTTTCACAAAGGCGTCGTGATAAACGGAGCTTCTCGCTCCTTTCCCCTCTCTTGCCTCGGGCGGCTTATCCTAGCCAGAGCTTGGCGACTGTCCCTATGAAAACGCATTTTTGAAAACCGCCGAGTGCACGCTCCTGCAGGGCATGAGTGTGGCTGGAACAGCTTGGGTGGGGACCGTTTGGATTCCCGCCCCCTGCAGCGCAAGCGCTCAGCCGCAGGGCCCGGCTCCCAGCGAGAGCCCTACAGTTGAGGAGGCCTGGCGGGCCTGGGGTGCCAGAAAGGCCGCCATCCCGCGGGAGGGGGCGTGAGCTGGGCGGGGCCGGAACGTCTTTCTCCGGGGCCGCGCCCCGGGCGGGCACAGTTACAGCCGCACGGATCATGGCCGCAGCCGCGCTAGCGCAGGTGGGTTCGCAGCCCCGCGCCGCGGTGCTGGGGAAGCCTGGGGGGAGGCGCACTTCCGGGAAGACCACTCAAGCGCCTCCTGTCCGGCTTGGCGCCTCTCCTCTGGCACTGGGGTTCCGCTGCGGGACGCAGAGGAGGATGGGGCCCCTTGGAAAGGAGCTCCGGGCTTTAATGGGGGAAGTGGGTGGACGCTGATAGTGTGGGCACGTAATTGGCGACGAGGTATAAAGCGGGAAACATAGAGGGGGAGCCTGTAATGAGAGAGGCACAGCACTGGGGTGGGAGTGCATTGGAGAATGTAGCCCTGGGGGGATTAGGAAGGCAACAGTCAGCCTGTGAAGGCTCTAGAATAAGAGACGTAGTATCTCTAGGGGTGGGACTAGGATGAGGGCATAGAGTTCAACCCCAAGTCTCTACTGGGAATTGAACCCACGGTCTTATTTTCTTGGAAATAAAGGTAGGTAAAAGATAGATGCGAATGATGTGTTTCCAAAACCCCTTATCTGAAGTTCGCACCTGGGTTGGAAATTGAAGCAGCTTCTCTTTGTTAAAATGACATGGATCCTCCAGGCAAGAGACGATCTGTTCTTACTGATAAGATGTCAAACAGCAGAGTTTCCCAAGAGTCTGTGATTTTAGGGAACAGCACGTCTCAGTGAGGAAGGAAACGGTCCAAGAAAGAGGTCATTACAACCCTTAACAGCTGCAGCATACATAATCTTGGGAGAAGTGTTTCCTGTTAACTGCACCTGACTTCATCCGAGTCTTTTACCCCAGCTGATGAATACCAGAGCAGATTTTTACGTTTCTTTGGATCTTAGTGACTGACTGACTTAGGATAGACCTGGGTTATGACAGGAGCAATCTGGCTTTGATAGTGATATTCTTGGACTGTGGTGGGACCATCCTGCGCCAGATCTGACAGGTGCAGTGGGTTGGGGCTGTGATGTGAAGAGTCCTGACATGACACAGTTCTGGTGTAATAGGATAGTCCTGAACTCGTAACTGGAAAGACTTTGGCTCTGATGAGGACAGTTTTATCCTGTAGTGGAGATAGCCTGGGGCCGAGTCCTGAGCTATAACACGTAGTCCAGGATTTTGATGTGGGGACAGTCCTGGGGTGTGAAGGGGATGGTGCTGGGCCATGGCAGGGACCTGGGGACAGTCCTGGGGTCTGGAAGAGACAGGGACTGGGCTTTGGGAGGGTGGGGGAAGGTGCTGGGCTTTGGGAGGGTGGACATTCCTGAACTGTGTCGAGAGGGTACTTGGCTCTGGTGGGAATGGTCCTGGGAAGTGTTAGGGACAATCTGGGTTGTGATGTGGAGAGTTTTGGTTGATGTGATAAGACCAGTCTTGGGCTATGACAAGCCCAGTGCTGGATTTGATGAGACAGCTTAAGCTGTGATAGGAACAGCCTTTGGCTGAGACAAGGACAGCACTACCCTACGATGGGGTCTCTCCTGGGCTGTGATGTGGGGACAATCTTGGAGTGTGAAGGACAGTGCTGGGCTTTTTTTTTTTTTTTTTGAGACAGAGTCTCACTTTGTTGCCCAGGCTAGAGTGAGTGCCGTGGTGTCAGCCTAGCTCACAGCAACCTCAAACTCCTGGGCTCAAGCGATCCTCCTGCCTCAGCCTCCCGAGTAGCTGGGACTACAGGCATGTGCCACCATGCCTGGCTAATTTTTTACATATATATATCAGTTGGCCAATTAATTTCTTTCTATTTATAGTAGAGACGGGGTCTTGCTCTTGCTCAGGCTGGTTTTGAACTCCTGACCTCGAGCAATCCGCCCGCCTCGGCCTCCCAGAGAGCTAGGATTATAGGCGTGAGCCACCGCGCCCGGCCAGTGCTGGGCTTTGATGGGGATACTCCTGGGTGGTTTGGGACACAGTGAAGAGCCTGTGATATCAGAGAGCCCTGTGCTGTGCACCACCTGACCGTCCCTCATTTCTTAATTCACCCTCAATCCTTTCACATGCTTTGTTCCAATAGGCCATCTGCCATCTGGGGGGAGGTGACTCCTTGGGGCCCAATCCCAGTGGCTTGGGGTGTGGGGTGGAGGGGTGCCTTTCTAGAACTGAGGGGATACCCCTACCCCTAGAGAAATGCCCCAGAGAATGGAGGCAGCTTCTCCCATTTTCACAGGATCTCTATGGCCAGCCAGTATTTATGTTGGCCCTGCCCAGCAACTTGTCTTTGCCTTGTGGGCATGTGCTGTGTCCTGCCTCTCCTTTCTCTGTCTCCTGGATGTCTCTGTCTCTAAGCATCTGTGAGACAGTTTCTCTCCAGATGTTGGCATCTCTGTCATCTCAGTCTTTCTTCATTTCCCTGGGTCTCCCTTCCACTCAGGGCCCTGCCATCTAAAGTCTGGTCTTTGTCTACTTCACTCCCTTTTCCTCATTCTCTGTCCCTTGGCTTCTCTTTATCACAACCTCAGTACTTTTTCTTGGTTTCTCCAGGGTTTATTTCTTTGCCTGAGTGTGTCTCTCTCTGTTTCTTATTTTGTTTTCTTTCTTTATTTTTGAGACAGAGGACAGCACTACCCTACGATGGGGTCTCTCTGTTGCAGGAGCTAGAGTGCCGTGGCGTCAGCCCAGCTCACAGCAACCTCAAACTCCTGGGCTCAAGCGATCCTCCTGCCTCAGCCTCCCAAGTAGCTGGGACTACAGGCACATGCCACTACACCCGGCTAATTTTTTCTATTTTTATTAGAGACGGAGTCTCGTTCTTGCTCGGCCTAGGCCACAGGTCTCGAACTCCTGACCTCAAGTGATCCTCCCGCCTCTGCCTCCCAGAGTGCTAGGATTACAGGTGTGAGTCACCGCGCCCGGCCTCTCTCTGTGTCTTGTTTCAGTCTCCCTCTCTTTATGATCAGATCTATTTTGGCATCTCTTGGCCTCAGTTTCTGTTCTTTCCAGTTTATGTTCCCCATTTCTGTCTCTTTCTCATTCTTCCTCTTCCTCTTTTGTTTTCATCTTGGCTCCCTGGGAAGGCCGCTCTCCTGCCCACAGGCTGGCTGTCCCCTCGCTGTGTCCATCCTCTTTCCACGCTGTGGGTGTCCTGTCCCCTCCCGGGCAGAAGCCTGGCCGTAGTGCTACGCAGGCTACATGTCGCCACCTAGAGGCTGCGCAGGGCCCCACACTCTGATCGTCCGGGAAGCCCTAGGGCCCCCACCCGGTCAGGACTGCGCCCCAGCCCGGCAGCCTCTGTGTCCCCAGGACTCACCTGCTGACCAGTGACTGCTGCCATTCACGTCCATTCTCACTTACTGGGGCCGGCTCACCCAGCTCACAGGGCAGGACAGGCTGGCCGCTCCGTATCCGTCCACCTTACAATCCAGCTGCGTCCCGGCAGGGCGGGAGACAGAGGCGTTGTGAGGTCAAAGGTCACCGGGGAGGAGCCACCGTGCCGGCCATGTCCAGACCTGCTGTCCCCTGCTCCCTGCAGCTAGGCCAGAAGGGAAGTTCGTCTGAGCTCTGTCCAGTGACATCTGGGGCGGCCCCCAAGTCCATGTGGCTGCCCCTCAGCCACTGGGCCCTGAAGGGAGTTGGAGTCACTGCCAAAGTGGTGCCCAAGGTGTGGCTTGGGGGCTTCCAGTGATCTGAGCCCAGCTGATCTATTACCCTGAAAGAATAAGCACTTAGACCCCTGGGTCTGAGGGAGGAGGGGCTGGGAGCCTGGACTCCTGAGTCCCTGGGAAAATGTCCTTTGTGTCCCTTACTCTTCCAAGGCTTTTCAGGGGTTGGGTCCCAGAAGGGTTTCACTTACCTGTGCACCTTCCCTTGTCGTCTTCTCATCTGAGCTGATCTCAGGGCTAGTGTCAGAGTTCCCTGGGGTGGGAGGTGCTTGCATTTGACTTTGCCCTGTGGTGGAGGGGGGACCAGCTGACTCAGCTCTGTCTAGGGACGGCCCTCGTGGGGCAGGAATTCCCTCCACTACAGAGTGATCAGACAGGGGCAGGGCCTTGGCCAGGGCCACATGCCTGGTCTAAAATGTACTGGGCTTGGGACACAGTAGGCCAGAGGGACCTCCCAAGTGCCGAAGGTGGCAGATGGGGTGTCAGGGCCCCTCCTCTCTGTCACAACTGGCCTCATCACCTTTCTTGCTTCTCTCTCCACCCCAGATCTGGGCCCGAAAACTCCTCCCTGTCCCTTGGCTTCTGTGTGCTCCCAGGAGATATGCCTCCTCCGATTTCAAGGTGACAGGAGGGAACTGTATGCTTGCATCTGAGGGAGGAGGGGCTGGCAGATTGGGTACCTCTGAAAGGTCCACAGCCCAGAGCTGAAGCCTGGTGGCAGTGGGTGGTCTCATAGCCTGTCCTCAGGCAGTGGGAGAGGTGAAACTACATGTCCCAGGAGCCTCTGGGGCCATAGGTCTCCCTTCTCTATGGGTCCAAGGCCCAGAGCTTCATGGGAGTTGTAGTTTTTCAGTTTGGAGGTTGTGGCCAAATTCCAGGACACCCAGGTCCCCTGTCTTTTCTCAGGCTGCAGACCTGCAGCTGGAAATGACAAAGACGCCTCATAAGAAGCCCGACCCCAGGGAGCCCCTGGTGTTTGGGAAGACATTCACCGACCACATGCTGATGGTGGAATGGAATGAGAAGAAGGGCTGGAGCCAGCCCCGAATCCAGCCCTTCCAGAACCTCACGCTGCACCCGGCCTGCTCCAGTCTCCACTACTCCCTGCAGGTGGAATGGCAGTCAGCCTCTGTCCCCTGTCCCTGTCCGTATCTCTTCCTCCTTGCTGTGTCTCTTGCCAGATGCACCTCCCTGGGTTTGTGTTTTGCGTGTTTCTTCTCTCTGTGTGTTCATCATCCATTTTCCGAGGCCAAGCACACTCCAGGCCTTGTGTTGGGTGATGCTGGCTTCGCCAAGATGAGCAGCTCTAGTTCCTTCACTTGAAAATGCCACACTTTGGTCATAACTTGGGGCCATTTGTGCTCTGATGGAGGCACTGTGGAGGCCAGAAGAGACCCCTGGTCTAACTTGAAAGAAAGTGAGGCCCCTCCTGGGAAAAAGGGGAGCTCAGGATGTTAGGGGGAGAGGGGACAGCCAGTACAAAGTGCCAAATGGGAGTAGAGCGTGGCACGTTTGAGAGGAACTGTGGGAGTGGAGTGTGGCAGAGGGGACTGAAGTCCTCAGGGCCACAGAGGAGCCAAGCGGCTGGGGCCTTGCTGGGGGCCATGCAGGGCTCTGAGTAGGGAGGGGCAGGGCCAGGTCTGGGTATAGGAAGAGCCCTCCCAGGCCGTGTGCAGGGCGAGAGGTGGAGGCCAGGAGACCAGGCTGGGGGGACGGTCTGGAGGTCCAAGCTGGGGCCAGAGTGGCAGGGACGGATAGCAGAGGACAGGACAAAGAGATTCAGGGACACGGGGACTGACTGGGTGGATGAGGGAAGACAATGGAGGGCCAAGGATGGTGCCCAGAAGTCTGGCCAGGTGACCAGGTAGACTATGTGTGGGCCTGTTCCCAAATGGGGACCCAGGAGAAGGAGCAGGTTTGTGGCACCTGGTGAGCATGAGAGTCCTGTGACATTCTTAGAAGAGAGATCCAGGAGGCATTTGGTTCTATGACTTAAAGCTGTGGCTGAAAGCAAAGTCTTCACGAGGAAACTTCAGTTGAGACAAGATTTGGATGAGCATCTTACAACGGCAGTCACTCCAGTTTGCAATTTGGGTGATTTTTATCCTCTGGGGCATGATTTTGTGACATGAAGTTTTGCTTTTCTTCCCTTCCCCTTTGCTTTTCCTTCCCTTTCCATTGCATGTCATTTCATTTTGAGGTTGCTTGGTTCTCCCCACCCCCAACCTACTCTGGACATTTAACTAGAACCAGTCAGTTCGGTCGCAGGCAGACACTCCTCCACGGCAGTAGGCACGCGGGTGAGGACATAATGGAGGAGAAACAGGCAGAATCACATCCGCAGATCCCCCAGGAAGGCGGTTAGCTGGAGACCACCGTTCACTTCTCCCTTCAGTCCAGCACAGCACGTTTTCCTCTGGCCGGGGACCCAGTGCCCTTCTTCAGTTGACTGAGGCAGATGGCGTGTCTTGTGGCATACAAAACATACATTTCTGCGACCCCTCTCTTGCAAAGTAGGAGGGGACACAGGAGAATCACGTCTCCATGTCACCCTCACTCTGGGGCATGTATGGAATAACAGGTAGACCACTTTTTTTTAATCTCTTATTATTGTGGTACTAGTACACGTGCATGATAGTAAACACAACATAAAATGTGCCATTTCAACCATTTTATTTTATTTTTTGAGACAGAGTCTCGCTTTGTTGCCCAGGCTAGAGTGAGTGCCGTGGCGTCAGCCTAGCTCACAGCAACCTCAAACTCCTGGGCTCACGCGATCCTCCTGCCTCAGCCTCCCGAGTAGCTGGGACTACAGGCATGCGCCACCATGCCGGGCTAATTTTTTCTATATATATTAGTTGGCCAATTAATTTCTTTCTATTTATAGTAGAGACAGGGTCTCGCTCTTGCTCAGGCTGGTTTTGAACTCCTGACCTCAAGCAATCCGCCCACCTTGGCCTCCCAGAGTGCTAGGATTACAGGTGTGAGCCACCATGCCCGGCCCATTTCAATCATTTTAAGGTTCCCACGCCATTCCAGAGCTGCTTTCCGGTATCAGCACTGATGTATATAATCCTTTCACTTCATTTGTCCCACACAGAAAGTACACAGTGCACTCACTGTCACCATGCTTTCTTTCTTTAATGTATTCTGGAGATTCTTCTATAACAGCCCTAAAACAGCAATTTCCATCTTTTTTTTTTTTTTTTTTTTTTTTTTTTTGCTGCAGGATAATATATTTCATCCTAACAATACACCTCATTAGGCAATCCCCTATTTTCGGATACCTGGGTTGTTCCTAGCCTTGTGCTACTGTAAACAATGTTGCAATAAAGAATCTAGTACACAAATCACTTCCTTTAAGTGCCAAGTGTATCTCTCAATTTCTATAACCACTGGGTCAAAGGATATGTAAGCTTGTAATTTTGGCAAGTATTGCCACATGGACTGCTGTAGAATTCTATCAATTTCCACCCCAAACCAGCAGAGCCTGTTTCCCCATACCTGTGACAACCTTTGTAAAAGTTCTAGATCTTCTCCAATCTCCTAAGTGAGTTTAGATGTATGTCAAAGTAATTTTTTTTTTTTTTGATACATAGTCTCACTTTGTTGCCCCAGCTAGAGTGCCCTGGTTTCAGCCTAGCTCACAGCAACCTCAAACTCCTGGGCTCAAGCGATCCTCTTGCCTCAGCCTCCTGAGCAGCTGGGACTACAGGCATGCGCCACCATGCCTGGCTAATTTTTTCTATTTTTTAATAGAGATGGTATCTTGCTCTTGCTCAGGCTGGTCTCAAACTCCTTAGCTCAAACGATCCTCCAGCCTGGGCCTCCCAGAGTGCTAGGATTACAGGCATGAGCCACCATGCCTAGCCAAGTTTGTCTTAGTTTTGTGCAATCAAATGTATCCCTTTTTAGGGGGGCTTCTATGATGTGTTGTATGTAGAAAGACCATCCTCAGTCTAAGATATAAAACCGTTATCTTGTGTTTTCTTCTATAGCTTTTGTGATTTTTTTTTTTTCATTACAATTTTTAGCTACCTGGGAAAAAAATTTTTTTTAGCTACCTGGAATGTTTTTTGGTATGAAGTGTGAAGTAGGGATCCTGTTTAATTTTTTTTTTTCTAAATGGATATTTGGTTAGCTACCCCATTTTCAGCCATATACCAGTGTCACTCTTTTAAGTATTGTAGGTTTTCGGCTGGGCGCGGTGGCTCATACCTGTAATCTTAGCACTCTGGGAGGCCAAGGCCAGAGGATCGCTCGAGGTCAGAAGTTCGAAACCAGCCTGAGCAAGAGCGAGTCACCGTCTCTACTATAAATACAAAGAAATTAATTGGCCAACTAAAAAAATATATACAAAAAAAAAAAAAAAGTTAGCCGGGCATGGTGGCGCATGCCTGTAGTCCCAGCTACTTGGGAGGCTGAGGCAGGAGGATCACTTGAGCCCAGGAGTTTGAGGTTGCTGTGAGCTAGACTGACGCCATGGCACTCACTCTAGCCTGGGCAACAAAGTGAGACTCTGTCTCAAAAAAAAAAAAAAAAAAAGTATTTTTATTTTTCTGGAAAATTCCATACATAAAAGAGGAATAATAGATTCCCCATCTCCCCAGCATCCTGCTCCACCAGTTAAAAACTTCCACACATTATCACCCTGAAAACTACTCCTAGGAACGCGGAAAGGGTTTAAGCAGGACTGTTCTCTGCTCACTCTGGTTTCTGTCCTGTGCCTTTCAAGGCCTCTGTCTCTGTCTTTCCCTGTCTGTCTGTCTGTCTGTGTCTCTCCATCTCTGCGTCTCTTCCCAGTGCCCTCCGTCTCTGTATCTGTGTCTGTCCCCTGCCGCCTCGGTGTCTGTCGCTGTCTCTCCGTGACAGCCTGGGGAGGTCTCAGAGCCCTGAGCCTCCGGCCTGCCTGTCCCCGCAGCTCTTTGAGGGCTTGAAGGCGTTCAAAGGCAGGGACCAGCAGGTGCGCCTCTTCCGCCCCTGGCTCAACATGGACCGGATGCTGCGCTCGGCCCTGCGCCTCTGCCTGCCGGTGAGGGCCCGCGGGGAGGGCGCGTGGGGTGGGGGACAAGCGCGGCAGGTCCCCGACTCCAGGCCCCTGACTCCCCCGCAACCCGCCAGAGCTTCGACAAGGGCGAGCTGCTCGAGTGCATCCGCCGGCTCATCGAGGTGGACAAGGACTGGGTGCCCGACAGCGCGGGCACCAGCCTCTACGTGCGCCCCGTGCTCATCGGGAACGAGGTGGGCCCGGCGGCTGGGGCTGGGGACGCGGGACCGGGCTTGCGGGTGGACTCTGAAGGTGGGGGGCTGGAGGCCTGGACTCCTGATGCCACCCCTCTGCTCATCGCAGCCGTCGCTGGGTGTCACCCGCCCCTCGCAAGCCCTCCTGTACGTCATCCTCTGCCCTGTGGGCTCGTACTTCCGCGGAGACTCCGTGACCCCGGTCTCCCTCCTGGCCGACCCAGCGTTCATCCGGGCCTGGGTGGGTGGGGTCGGCAACTACAAGCTAGGGGGGTAAGTAGCACCCCACCCCCAGAAGGTCTGGTGCACAGGGGGTCAGAGATATGGGTCTAGTGGCTTTGCTTTTGAGTACGTTTCTGGGTGTCCCTTGTCCTCCCTGCGTGTCTCCCATGGGCACATGGGGTGTGACATCATTGGCACACTGGTGTACCCAGCTCAGTGCTAAGCGCTGTATTCCTGTGACCACAGACTGTGGCCGGAGGGGTGGGGGTCCATCTTCCCAGTGGACAAATGGGCTTGGAGATGGGAAGGGATTCAATGGAGGTCAGCGGGGAAACCAGGACTGGTCCTTGGAAGCTTCCAGAAATGAAATTTACACTTAGCTCATTGGTCTCTTCCCCGAGGGTATCAGGAGCCCAATGTCCAGGGCTGCATATTCTCTGATGGAGGTGGCCCAGGGCATTGTGAAAGGCTTCATGGAGGGACACTTCAGCTGAGTGTAATGAGTTGCAAGGAGCTGGCTTCCTGGGTACAAAAGCGAACAATTTCTAACCTTGGGGGACCACATGTTTGGAGATGGAGGAGACAGGATCACAGAGGGTGTTCTGGGAAGAAAAATATGTTTATTTTTTTGCAAAAGGCTTTACAAGTCCTCCTAGACCCAGGCCAGGCTTGGAACACCAGGCAGGGGCTGGGATCTTGTCCTGGGGCAATGGGGAGCCATGGGAGGCATGTTAGCTGATGAGGGGTGAGGTCATCTCTGGGTGAGAGACAAGGTGATAAAATAGGGTGATACGGAAAATCATTGAGGTAGCCCACTTCACTGGGGATCCCAGAGAAGGCCCAGCAGCCAGCCTGGAGGTGTGGACATGCCTCTGAGAGGTGACGTCAGAAATGGTTTTAAGGACAGTTGGGGACTTGGTCATGATGAGCGGAGGAAGGTGATGTTGACAGAGGAAACGGGTGCTCTTGCCATCTGGAGAAGGGAAGAGGCAGGAAAAGAGGGACGTGCCACCCAGGGTCTTGATGCCAAACTAATGGCCAGGGACTCTGTGCTGGGCACTGGGGAGGCATGGGGGGGGTGTGGGCTGGGGAGGGCAGGGGCAGCCCCGGTGTGGGGGAGGATGGGGGTCCCCTGCCCTCTCCAACCAGGCTGCCACCCACCAGGAATTATGGGCCCACGGTGTTAGTGCAACAGGAGGCAAAAAAGAAGGGTTGCGAGCAGGTCCTCTGGCTGTACGGGCCTGACCAGCAGCTCACCGAGGTGGGCACCATGAACATCTTCGTCTACTGGACCCACAAGGATGGGGGTGAGCCCACCCATGACCCAACCCAAGCCCTGGTGGAAGCGGGTGGTACCCTAATTCCTGGCAGGTTACAGGCCCCAGGGATTCATTCTGGGGGTTGTGGCTGCTAAGAGGAAGGGGGTGTGAGGTAACATCTCACCCTTCCTCCTGACCTAGTGCTGGAGCTGGTGACGCCCCCGCTGGATGGTGTCATCCTGCCTGGAGTAGTCAGACAGAGTCTGCTGGATCTGGCTCAGACCTGGGTGAGGGTGTGGTGGCTTTTGGTGGTGCAGTACCTGGGTGGGGGGCTGGGGCACACTGGCTGGTCTCTGCACCCTCCTCCTCCTCCTCCCTCCCCTTGGGCCTCTTTCTCACCATCCTTAGGGAGGGAGAGGCAGAGGTGTGCAGGGGCAGCTCTCGGGGACATGTGTATCTTGTCCCCTTGCCCTGCAGGGTGAGTTCCGGGTGGCAGAGCGCAGGATCACCATGAAGGAGTTACTGCAGGCGCTGGAGGAGGGCCGGGTGCGGGAAGTCTTTGGCTCAGGCACCGCGTGCCAGGTCTGTCCTGTGCACCAAATCCTGTACCAAGGCCAGGTGAGGCGCGGCTGCCACGGATGGGGGGGGGTTGGGTAGGAGACAAGGGGGAGGGGCCTGGTGCTCACCCCACCGTCTTCCCCAGCACCTCCACATTCCCACCATGGAAAATGGGCCTGAGCTTATCCTCCGCTTCCAGAAGGAGCTGAAGGCGATCCAGGTGAGGTGCAGGGAGCGGGTAAGTGGGCCAGATGCTTGTTCCCCAGAGAAGTTCACGTCCCACGAGCCTCTGGACTAACAGCCACACTCCCCGCGAATAGTCCCAGGGACAGATAAAGGCCCTTCTACCTAGGCCTGGGCTGAGTTGGCTTCCCATGAACCTCTGTGGCCTGGAATACCCCTGGGAGCTAAATAACTCTTTCCTTTGCGCTGGTGGAGCCCTGGGCTAGCTCTTTGGTTTGAGAACCTCACTTCCCCAGTCTCTGCGCCCCCGGGTATACTTCTGGTGGGAAAAACCCCCTTTCCATGGATCTCTGGGACCCTAGCCAGCCCCCTTGCCACATAAGTCTGCTTCCCGAGATTCACTGGAGCCCCGGGCGATCCCTTTGGCCTGAGAAATCTTCCTCCTGTGAGCCCTGGCCCTGGGCCCCTTCCTGGCGCAAGCACGTTTCCTCCCGCGAGCCTCTGGAGGCATTCCCGTGCTTCCGAGCCAAGGTATCGTCCCCAGACCTCTGGGCTCCTTTCCCAGAGCTCGGGACCTAGAACTACACTTCCCCTGACTACCCGGGACTTCTCAGCGGAAAATGACTTTTTCCGACAGCCTTCCGACAGTCTTAGACTACCCACCCTCTCTTCAGAACTACATCTCCCCTAAGCCTCTGCGCCGCCTTGGCCTGACTCCTCCTCTTGGGGTTCTGGGCGGGCCTCCGGGAAGTGGACTACATTTCCCATGAGGCCGCGGGGCGCAACTGCGTAGGCACTCAGCCTGGGGTGCCGCAGGGCCTGCTGGGAGCTGCAGTGCGGCTTTCCACTCACGCGCCGCCTCGGTCGTCCTGCAGTACGGAACGAGCGCCCATGAGTGGATGCTCCCGGTGTGACCATGCGGGCTGAGTGCAACCACCTTTCGGACCCATCGACCTGTAGCATCCAGTCACGCCGGTTCTCGCCTCCCTCCCAATGACTCACCTGAAGTGCAATAAGAAATAAAAGGCCAGGGGACCGGACGCCTGGGTCTCTGGCGCCCCCGCGTGGTCGCTACACTCCTAAAGCCATAAGGGCCGGACCCAGGCGTCTTGGCCACCAGCCCCGCGTCTCGGGCCTCGGGGGTCAGGGCCCCCAGTTTATCCTTGCCGTGGGGCTAAGGGTGCGCTTTCGCTCCGACCCCGCATCTCTCCGTTCTCAGGCTGGACCCCGGGTGCTGCCGTTGAGTATTTTTTCTCTCTCTTTGCTGCAATTTTGAAATAAAATGCCAAAGAACAAGACTTTACCTGTCTTCTCCAGTGCTTCACTTTGGGGACCCTGGGGTCTTAAACCAGGAATCTTGGTTTTCCGCCCATTTTATTTTCAGAGATCCAGTAATCTGAGCCCTCAGGGTCCTGGCTGTTTCTCCAACCTGGGAGAGCTTTCCGATTCTCCCAAACTAGGCTTAGCATTCCGCACTCCCCTCTCCCCCCACTTTCCAGTTCTTGGTGACAGTCCCACCTACACGCAGCCACTACCCAGGCTAGAGTGAGTGCCGTGGCGTCAGCCTAGCTCACAGCAACCTCAAACTCCTGGGCTCAAGCCATCCTCCTGCCTCAGCCTCCCAAGTAGCTGGGACTACAGGCATGCACCACCATGCCCGGCTAATTTTTTCTATATATTTTTAGTTGGCCGATTAATTTCTATCTATTTTAGTAGAGACGGGGTCTCGCTCTTGCTCAGGCTGGTTTCGAACTCCTGACCTTGAGTGATCCTCCCGCCTCGGCCTCCCAGAGTGCTAGGATTACAGGCGTGAGCCACCGCGCCCCGGCCACCCCCACGCTTTAATAATTGTCGAGTGGAGGTGTGGAAAGAGCCGGGCTTTAGGACCTGGCATGGCCAGTTGCGGATATGGATACAAACACTTGCTTCCCTTATCTGCTTGCTGTGTGACTTTGGGCATGTCACTTTATCTCCGTGATCCACTTTGCTGGAGAAAGGCCATGTGGGACTACTTGGCAGACATGGTCTGCCGTGCAGCCAGCAGCCAGCAGCTTTGGGACTGAGATTCCAATTTAGTAGAGTAGCAACTGACCCATTGCCACATCCTTCCCCTTCCTTTTTTGTCAATGATTGCTCAAGGCAAGGTTATGGGCCAAGGGGACCCAAGGGGAAATTTGCCTTCTGGCCTCTGGGAAAATTTCTTCCCTTGAGAAATGAATCTAGAAAGTCTCCCTCTCCTTCCCTACTTCCTTTTGCTGTTGATTACGTGGAAGAGTGATGCTTGGAGCTGCTGCAGCCATTTTGTGCTCACGAAGCATGCTGCGGCCCTCACGCTGCAAGTGGCAGTACATTAAGATGAGAAGTCCCTGGCTCCTCCCAGGAAACCTCTGCTTTCTGGATTGTTTTGTTTTTAAAAAGTCAAACTGAAAACCTGTTTAAGCTTTTGCCCTTTGTTATTTACAGTTTGTTTGGTGACTTGTGTGAGGTTTAAAGAATTCACCCTGTAATCCTAGCACTCTGGGACTCCGAGGCGGGCAGATTGCTCGAGCTCAGGAGTTCAAGACCAGCCTGAGCAAGAGCGAGAGCGAGACCCCGTCTCTACTAAAAATAGAAAGAAATTAATTGGCCAACTAAAAATATATAGAAAAATTAGCCGTGCATGGTGGCGCATGCCTGTAGTCCCAGCTACTCGGGAGGCTGAGGCAGGAGGATCGCTTGAGCCCAGGAGTTTGAGGTTGCTGTGAGCTAGGCTGACGCCACGGCACTCACTCTAGCCCTGGCAACAGAGTGAGACTCTGTCTCAAAAAAAAAAAAAAAAGAAAAGTACCCAGTTCAGTCCCTTGCTGGTGACTGGGCTGCAAATGAAGGCGTAGGTTAGATTTTTTTTTAATTATTATTTTATTTTTCAGAGACAGAGTCTCACTCTGTTGCCCAGGCTGGAGAGCCGTGGCAAGATCATAGCTCACTGCAGCTTCCAAGTCCTGGGCTCAAGCTGTCATAGGCATAAAAGTTCCTGCTAAAGTCACAGAAAAGAATTTCAGGGATCATGCACGCAACCGAGCGACAGTAGCATTTATTAGGTGAAAGTGGACAGGCTTAGGAAAGGCTTGTGCAGAGCGAGAGGGCTCTCCCAAGGGAGGAAGCAGGCGGGCCCCCAAAGAGCAACTGCACCGAACCCCGAGTGGTTGCTGTTTCTGTTGATATCAAAGAAGGCTGGGGGGGGGGTGTCAGTGCTCATTCTGTTCTTACTCATAGTTCTGCTGTTTTTCCCACAAAGGGGGGAGATCAAATCCACAATGTAAATTTATTACGATTGTGATACAATAAGGAAAAGGTCACTTTGTATCTGCCCAAATGCTGGGAAATCAATGGCTCTTTTCTTTTCAGGTCATTCAAGGGCTGTTTGTTCAAGCCAGTTGATTAACTTTTCCATTCCCTTCTCCCGTGCTCATGCCAAATTTGCCACCTGCTCTAACAAAACGATCCTCCTGCCTCAGCCTCCCGAGTAGCTGGGACTACAGGTGTGCACCACCATGTTTGCCTAATTGTTTTGTTTTTTGTAGAGATGGGATCTCACTATGTTGCCCAGCCTTGGTCTCCAACTCCTGGCCTCAAGTAGCTCACCTTGAGGGTCAGTTTCCCAGGGGCCTCAGTCTCCCAAAGTGCTGGGATTACAGGCGAGAGCCACCGTGCCGCTCAGCCAGCTTTTGTTATTTTAAAATGAATTACTATGTTGTAAATTTATTGTTTTAATTTCTAATTCTGTAAACATTGATACATGTAACCTACATAAACTAAAGCTCTTGGGGGTCCCCAGTGATTTTTTTTTTTTTTGAGACAGAGTCTCGCTTTGTTGCCCAGGCTAGAGTGAGTGCCATGGCATCAGCCTAGCTCACAGCAACCTCAATCTCCTGGGCTCAAGCGATCCTCCTGCCTCAGCCTCCTGAGTAGCTGGGACTACAGGCATGTGCCACCATGCCCGGCTAATTTTTTCTATTTTTAGTTTGGCTGATTTCTTTCTATTTATAGTAGAGACAGGGTCTCACTCTTACTCAGGCTGGTCTCCAACTCCTGAGCTCAAGCAATCCTCCCGCCTCGGCCTCCCAAAGTGCTAGGATTACAGGTGTGAGCCACCCTGCCCGGCCTCCAGTGATTTTTAAGAGTGTAAAAGGGTCTTGAGACCAAAGAGTTTGAATACTGCTGTCTGTGAGCAAGCAGGCATTGAGAGTTGGTTTTTTTTTTTCTTTTTTTGAGATAGAGTCTCACTCTGTTGCCTGGGCTAGAGTGAGTGCCGTGGTGTCAGCCTAGCTCACAGCAACCTCAAACTCCTGGGCTCAAGTGATCCTGCCTGAGCCTACTGAGTAGCTGGAACTACAGGCATGCACCACCATGCCCAGCTAATATTTTCTATGTATTTTTAGTTGGCCAAGTAATTTCTTTCTATTTTTAGTAGAAATGGGGTCTCACTCTTGCTGAGGCTGGTTTCAAACTCCTGACCTTGAGCGATCCTCCTGCCTCGGCCTCCCAGAGTGCTAGGATTACAGGCATGAGCCACCGCCCCTGGCCTTGAGAGATGGTTTGGCTGCTTAGCTTGTAAAAGCACTTTGTTTCTTGTCTTGCATTTGCAGACACTTAAAAGGAGTGCAAGTTGTTTCTGTGTGAGCTGGGCATTCTGTGGCACAGTGCCAGCATGTTTGTTTGCCATCATCACTTCATTTGCTTACTCTTTAAGGCAAATAAGATATTTAGGGGACAGAAGAAAATAATTATTAGGGTATTCGCATTGACATTTCAGGCCAGACGCAGTGGCTCATGCCTATAATCCTAGCATTCTCGGAGGCCGAGGCGGGAGGATCACTTGCGGTCAGGAGTTCGAGACCAGCCTGAGCAAGAGTGGGACCACCACGTCTCTACTAAAAATAAAATAGAAAAAAAAAAAATTAGCCGGGCATGGTGGCGTGCACCCAGTTCCTCCAGAGGCTGAGGCAGGAGGATCGCTTTAGCCCAGGAGTCTGAGGTTGCGGTGAGCTAGGATGATGCCGCTGTACTATACCCAGGGTGACACAGCAAGACTCTGTCTCCAAAGGAAAAAGACAAAATTTCGGCCAACACTCTTACATTGCCTAATTAGAGATCAATTTTTGTTAAACTCCTACTAGCTGTATGGCTTTTGAGAACTGAGTTCACTGCTCAGAGCCTTGGTTTTCTCTTTTTGAAAATATGGTAACAATGGTACCCATCCATTAGGGCCATCGAACACTGAGTTTCTCTAGGTAAGGTGCTTAGAACAAACAGAGCCCACACGTAGAAAGCACTAGCACATGGCCCTTGTGTGTGTGAGAAAGCTGGGTTTGCCTTGTGACTCTGATGATTTTCCAGCTCTATTCGAAAAATTCAATTCAGGCCAGGTGTGGTGGCTCATGCCTGTCATCCCAGCACTTTAGGAGGCCGAGATGGGAGGATCACTTGAGGTTAGAAGTTTGAGGCCAGCCTGGGTAACAGAGCAAGGCTCCTGTTGTAACAGAAGAAATGGCTTGAAAAATGGCAACAATGTTTTATGAGTCCTTTTTTTTTTTTTTTGAGACAGAGTCTCACTTTGTTGCCCAGGCTAGAGTGAGTGCCGTGGTGTCAGCCTAGCTCACAGCAACCTCAAACTCCTGGACTACTGTCCTCAAAAAAAAAAAAAAAAAAAAAGAAATAAATTATTTGCCCCACTAAAAAAAAAAAAAAATATATATATATATAAAAGTAGCCGGGCATGGTGGTGCTTGCCTGTAGTCCCGGCCACTCAGGAGGCTGAGGCAGGAGGATTGCTTGAGCCCAGGAGTTTGAGGTTGCTGTGAGCTAGGCTGATGCCACGGCACTCCAG